AGACTTAATATGAATTACAAACCATTTGGCCCAATGCTCAGGCTTATTACTAACTAGCTCTTACAACTTAAATTAAGCCATTTCTATTAATCTTTTTTTGCCATATGGCTTCATGGTGTTAACCTGTTCTCTAGTACATCTTGTTGCCCTAGTGGCTCGATGGCGTCTGCCCTGACTCTGCCCTTCTTCTTCCTGTATCTCTACTTGGATTTCCTGCCTGGCTCCATCCTGCTTTGCTATAGGCCAAAGCAGTTTCTTTATTCAGCAATGGTACTAAAACATATTCACAGCATACAGGAAGACCATCCCACAGCACAGCTTCATTAAAAAACTGACTTCCTGAGTCAGACACACTAGTATAGGCCTATAGTCCTAGAACTTGAGAGGACTGCTTGAACTCAGCAGTATGAGACCATCCTGGGAACCACAGTGAGACTATCTCAAAACAAGAGAACCTCCCAAATGGGTTCCTCCATCATGTCATTTATTAATTCTTTTAGAAATATACCTTTTATACTTTAGAAATAAACCTTTTACACTTTAAATAGCACACACTATATTTTTAAAACAATAAAAAATTAGTAAGAAGGATGGTTCTGCTCACGTTTTTATTTCTGCTAATCTCCCTACTGCCAAGTGTAAAAGATGACACTGGGAGGGGAACATATTATGTTAAACAAGGTTGACTGACTGATTAGAACTTATTTGAATTGTGGAGAGTGGAATGCTGCAAGTCTAGAGTCCAATTATCTTGAGTTATCCTTAGCTCTCTAAATAGCCATTTATTGCCCACCTGTATGACCTAACATCCACATGATTATTAGGTAAATACTTCTGTAATGTACAATCATGACCTGTAGCTTCCATAACCCAAAGGCTACAAATGTCATAACATCTGAAGCCTATAGCAGAATTACCCATTTCACTGTATCCTATTTGATGCGTCCACATCCACCAAAATATCTGAAAAGTAACTTGACTGATCACTTCCTTTGTTGAGTTACTTTTAAAACATCATGAAACTGTTACCATGTTGAAGAATGGTATTTGGTAGTAACCCAAATCTGTGTTCCCTCCCATGGTCCCTCTTATTTGGCTCTAGAATAAATGATCTCTCATTCCCTTTGAAGTGAGGGTTGTGTATTCCGCAACAGCTGATTGAAGCCAATGAATAAAATCTGGTCTCATTCAGATATAGATTCAGATTTAGGAGGAAAAAAAAAAGAGCATTTTAGTAGCCTTTTTAAATAATGTGACCATTCTTTTATCATACTGCACCAAAAAGTCAGGAACTCATAGCTTCTTCAAGATGAGGTAATTTTGGTGCTGTTACATTAACAAAAACAGACATTCAGGAAAAAAACGTGTACTCAAGTATGATCCTGTAAATACTATGCTTGGGATATTTAGAAACTATTCACTGAGTTAGGCAGTTTCATCATACATCTTTGAAAAGTCACAAAAGTTGCTATGACAACACTACTCAAAAAAGTTCAAGTGTTGGTGATAGGGGATGCTAGGTAGTGAGAAGGGGAATCAAAAGGGCCATTGGTAGTCAGCTGCTTTCCAGGCTTTATTGGTGACATAATGCACACATCTATGTGCACTTCCTCTAGTAAAAATGGCGTGCTCCACATCCTTTTTGATGCAGACAGCAGGTGCCTTCCATGTCTGGAGACCCATCTGGGACATATAAAATATCAGTGTGGTAATGACACGAGCAGCATGGTTAATGGTCACTAACCCCCTTCGCAAATGGTCAGTGGTTGATAACATATTGTGATGTAGACAGCAGGAGCCACCCTTGGCCAGGCAAAGCCAAAGACCTACTGTGATGAGTAGAAAGTACTGTTTTACAGTCTTGGAAAGATAGCTTGAAGCCAGAAGGGGGAAAGAAATGATACGCCTCAAAACATGTACTAGCACCTTACAAGTCCTTCCCTTAACTGTTTATAGCCCCTCACTGCTAAGCCTGCCCACTTGAAACCACAACATTTTCTCTTCCCTCTGCTTCCTTTTTTAAGACAAAAGCCAAACTCCTAAATTTTCGTGCTCTGACACTCCAGGTCTTCTCACTTCCTGAAGACCCTTTCTAGCAACACCACCCCCAGTTTCATTGCTTGAGGAATTCCTGATGAAGCATGCCTGTTTTCTTGACCCCTAACTCAAAAAACATCTTGTTTGCCTACCTTTCTTTCCCTCTCCAAATGTCCTGGAGTTTCCTCCTTGAGTCCACTTTGAAATACTGTGTTCTTAAGTGATAACAGGAAGGTGTCAGGCTCATGAGAGAAAATTTTTTACCCTCTTAGTGATGAGGAAACAGAAACAGTAGCTCACTTGAGAAACTAGGAATTAGACAGTTGCCCTGGTAGACAGATAGGGAGAGGGGCCATGGCTAGGCATTAAAGGTAGAGAATTTCTAAGATGGCTGGCTTCTTCCTGGCCCTCCTGACTGGAGACAAAAGCCTGGAAGCCTAAAACCAAAGCCTTATTGGCTTTTGTCCTCCACCCAGCAGGCCCCTTGCTGATGGACTAGTTCAACAAGTTCAAGGCTTGATGACATGTTACACAACAGTTGAACAGTGGATGGCCAATCAAACTTCCTGTATTTCTTCAAACTGACCAACCAACCCTAAATTAGAGGAAGAAGACTCTTTAGAGGCTTAAAAATCCCCAGCCCCAAGAAGAGATTAGATTTTTGTTGTTGTTGTTGAGTCTGCTCTGCTTCGTAGAGGGTCTTTTTTTTTTTTCTGTATGTCTGCTGTGTGCATGTTTCCTCACCCCTAAATAGTCACCTTTCTTCAACTACTAATTCTGTCTGTGCAGTTTGAGATTTCTCTGCTGCCACAAAAACAAACCTGATCAAGAGCTCTAGACTGTATCGATTTGGGACTACAGAGATAGCCAGGATCTTACAAGGTAAAAAGCCACCGAGGCTACACAAAGGGTTTAATGCATGTCTTTCCCCTATAAAAGAAATTTCTAGTGAGATTCCTGGAAATGGAAACTTTATGGTTGGGAAGAGAGAGCCTCAGGCACAATACTGTATCAGAAATCTTGTTTCTCTGTCAACAAAGGCTGACATCTAACACTGTGATGTCAATGCTCCCACAAATGGGTCCTCTAACTATCTGGTGTATGCCACTGGCCAAAATGCAGACCTTCAGGTTGGCTTAGTCCCTGCTTTTGATGGGGTCAATCAACAGCTCATCTGCCAGTGTGGATCTGCTGTCCATCTGCCTAACAGTTCCTGTGTCTGGACTATGTCCTGCCATTTCACCTCTGCATCTGGATTACATTGGACACTTTGTCAAATTTGTGACCCACAGTGGCCCAAGAACAGCAGCTTCTTCCCTGCAGCTGGTTTATATGTTATCAATACAGAGACTCTTGCATCCCTATCAGTTTCTCAGCTTTGGCTTCCCAAGGCTTTTTAAATTCCTAGCCCCCTTTTAACCCTTTGTAGGCACTGCAACACACACACACACGCACAAACATATAGAGAGATAAACTTACTGAGTGATGTATGTGGATCTCAGTTAATATTAGTAATTACTACTGCAGTAAATGAACCTGTGTTTGCCTTAGTCAGAGCTACCAAGTAAAGTGGGACTCTTCGGTGCCAGTGAAACCACTGTACTTGTGGAATTTACTGTAATTCAATAAATTCCAACATTGTGAATGCACATAAACACGTCCATCTGTTTCTGACATGGGGTGCATACGACATGAGTCATCTGTACGCCTTAAGCCCATTTGAGAGGTGATGGTGGGGCAAGAGATGAAGGGAAGGGAAGGACCAGGAAGGAGAGACAAGTGGTGGGAAGACGATTCAGTGGTCCGGATTGGGAAGGGAGACAACAGAGTCAGTAATCCCCTCAGGGTCGCTCACAGAAATCAACATATTTACACACACACACACACACACACACACACACACACACACACACACACACAAATTTAAAATTGACCCTAAACAAATTTGAATGTGTACACAGACCTGTTTTCTTCTATACCTTCCAGTCCAGGGTTGCCTGGTCTCCACGAGTGAGGGCAGAAGGGCCCAGACCTCTGGATAAGTTTTTACTGCTTCTTAACCTTTCTAGTTTGGGGCGGGAACAGAATTTATGGATTCTACACGTCCAGGAAAGCGCTTTTCTATACATTGGGGGGGAAAGGAGAGACGTAGACTAGTAGGAAAAAGCCCAGCAGAAATAAGTTACAGAGAAAGAAGCCGCAGAGCGAAGCAAGAGTGGAACCTGGAAGGGTCTAATAAAGGGAGGAGACAGTCCTGGGAAAGGGGAACCAAGGCTTCGGGAGACGGACCCGGGGCTCGTTCTGCAACGATCAGGGCGGGAGGGAGGGAGCGCTTCCTATGCACTCGGGGACACGGGAGGCCCTCCGGCACGCGAAGGGGCTGCAGCCGCCCGTAAGCTGCGGCGCTGAGCTCTTCCTGCGCTCCACGACCCGAGTCGGCTCACGCGTGTCTCGCAGGGAGCATCCTCGGGTCCCGTCCACGCCGCTCTCTTCAGGCCGGCCCAAGGCTGAACGTCCGCCTATAGGCCCCAACCCACCTTCTAAACCTTCCCGGGGCTCAACCACAGCCAACATCCCCAGCCGAGCCTGCGTCGTGACGACAGCCGGGTCCGGGCCAATCAGAGCGCGTGTTACGGCCATAGGCCGGCCAATCAGGAGGCGCCTTGTTGCCCCGGAGGTCCCGCCTCACGCCGTCTCCCCGCTGACAGGCGCGGCTCGCCCCGGGGAAGCCCAGCGAACGCGCTGAGGACGAGCGCCCCGAGGCGAGCGCGCCCGGCAAGCCGGGGCGTTCCCTTTCCGCGGTGGCGGCGAG